AACATTAGCATATCATATCAATCAAAACAGAACAACATATACTGGGTCCCCAACTTTACAAGTTGGACTACCCCCAGGCCCTCAGTACGCATCTGGAATTCCTACCGGGCCCTCAGCTCGTATCTGGAATGCCATCGATCCCTCAGTACGAGTCTGGAATGCCTACCGGGCCCTCAGCTTGTATCTGGAATGATCCTGATTCCTCAGTATGAGTCTGGAATGCCTACCGGGCCCTCAACTCATATATGGAATACTCTTGCGTTTGTTGGCTACCGCACGGAGTAGTACAACCTCAACTGACCCCACACAACATGTCGACATGTAACAGATAAATGCACATATAGGTAATCAATCAATATCATAGGCAGTCCTACACATCTACCCGACTAGCATATCAACTGGCATACATTACTAACTCAACTCAACATATCAATAACTACTAGGATATCAAATCCATTGGGCCGACATTGGTGCCTTAGACCCCTTAGTATAGTGAGGATAACTCACCTCAAAACGTCGACTCACAGAAATTAGTTCCAACCTTCGGGTTAGTGTCATGAATCCCACCACCTATATTTATCACGAATTGCATACATAAGATTCTAATCCTTCTAGAACTGTCCTCAAAAGTAAACAGATCTACTTAGGTCAATGGTCAAAGTTAACAGTCCATGTTGACTAGACTGGCCGAGTTCCCTCGGCTACCCGCCGAGTTTCCTTGACTTCCGGTGCACTCATCGAGTCATCGAGTGACTCGTTGAGTTTCCCTCGTTTTTCGACTGAACTCTAAAGCCACTCGTCGGGTTTCCTAAGCAAAACTCGACGGGTGCATACGTGGGCATATCCTTGGGAAAGTTCATCTGACTCGCCGAGTTTCATGGCGATCTTCATCGGACTCGCCGAGTTGTTCATCCAACTCGTCGAGTTCACAGCTTTCTTCATTGGACTCGCCGAGTTGTTCATCCAACTCATCGTGTTTCACGACTTCCTTCATCAGACTCGCCGAGTCCGTTTGGTCTTTTTCCATACATACATATTTTGAGCCATGCAGTGGCTCTAATTCATAGATCTAGGCTTCTATGGCATACTTATTATGTAAAGTCACAAACTTTACATACAAGCATTGCATTTAAGGCTCTAAATGCCAAGTCTAAGCTCTTAATGGGGTTTCATGCCCAAGAGGGACCTCATACATGATCAATTCTGAGACTTTATGTTTCTAGAGCTTAAAGAGGGTTCAGATCTGAAGTTACAACTTCAGATCCAACTCATTGTTCAACTTATCAACCTTTAAGGTCTACAAAAAACCCTAGAACTTCAATGAAAGGAAAACTCACAGAAGAGATTGTAATTTAGGGTACCTCTAGAAGATGACAACTAAAAGTAATGCTGATTTCCCCACCTAACTTGCTCCAACCTCCTCTTCCTTCAATCTTTCTCCTTCAAAATCTTCAAATCAAGCTTCACACACTCAACAAGCACACATACTCGAATCAGGGACTCACTAAGACTGTAAAGAGACCTAAGGAAGGCTAAGGATCCTTTAAATAGGGACACAAACCCCGGGAATTAGGGTTTCACTTGCCAGATCTTACTCGCCGAGTCCCACTAGTGGACTCGCCGAGTCAGTCACTTAAGTCGCTATCCAATCCCGATGCTACTCGACGAGTAGGGTAACCGACTTGTCGAGTAGGGCCAAAACCAAGAAACTATAATTTGAACAATACCTGAGAATCGGGGCGTTACAGAAGAGGAAGAAGAAAAAGAAGGTGATCCTTTGAAGAAGTTTGTAAGGAATCATCATCATCATCACCTTACATTGTTTATGGACCATTCTAAGTGTCAAAGCTTCCACCTTTATTGTTATATGAGGCTAGATCTAAGTTTTATCCCACTTTTCTCCTTGGGTGAGCAAGTTTGAATGAAAAGAAACCATAAAGTTGGCAAATTTATGGGTTATAAGAGTCTTAAGATTGTTTTGGAGTTCAGATCTAGAGATTAAGTTTTGGAACCTTGCATGAGAATTGGATGTCATTTCTTCAACTTTTGACCCAAATGAGATCTATATGTATTAAAAGCATTGACTTGGACATATATGTCTTAAAAGCATCGACTTTCTAGTGTATTAAGGAGTTATAAGACCTCTTGGAAAGTTAGAGTGCAAGATTTAATGGTTTAACGACTTACCGGTTAGACTTTTTTGCAAAAATTGTTCTCACAACGTGAGACATGGGGTCTCACGACGTGAGGAATGGTCAATCCCATTTCTTATGAGCTTATTGGAGCTCATGATGTGAGTAAAGGCTGCTCATGCCGTGAGGTAATCTCAGGTGATTTTCTGTGACTGATTTGGCTAGGTTGAGTTGGTGTGAGTTGGAATTGGATAAAGTGAGCTCTCACGACGTGACCAACGGATGGTTACGACGTGAGCACGGATAATTGAAATTATGGGCTATTGACTTTAACTTTGATTGCCAACTTTTGGCTTGAGTTGACTTATTGTCAAATTCTATTTTTAGACGGTAGAATTAGGGTTTACCTTGTATGGATTGATATGAGGTGTTAAACACCCATCATTTTGAAGGAGATAAGTTAGTTGTGGTCGGAATGGTTTTGAGCTGAGTGTTAGTTGGCTTTGTGATTCATGCGAGTCTCCTCACAGTACTTGCAAGTCGAAGACTCCAATGCCGGCCCATTGGATTATGCTATAGTATGCTAGCTGTCTTTGTGACTATTGCATTTATTGTATGTGTTTGTATGTATATCGGGCCAGTCCCGATGCTAGGTTGGGCCTGATGGATGTGTTGGGATGGGCCCATCGCATGTTACTGACATATTTGTTCCAGGTAGGGTCTGATGATTATCAGGCAAGGCCTATTGTATGTATGGTATGTGATATTTTGGGGAACTAACTAAGCTCTTTGCTTACGATTTATGTTTTCAGGTGCTTCCGATTCGAAAAGAAAGGACCTGGTTTAACCGCAACACATCCACCCATTATTTCGCGCTTTGGGATTTTCGGATTTTACTTTGATAATGATTTTTACTTTGATATGATTTTGAATGATTGAAAAGTATAAATAGTGTTTATGGTTGAATTAAAAATGAAAATTTTACCTAATAATTTTTGGGATGTTACAAAAACATGCTAGGGTTTAAATTTTCAAACACAAGTAAAATCAAATATAAGCATCCAATAATTAAAATCAACGCATATGGACTAGGTTCATCTTCTCCAAACATAAGTAAAAGGGGTTTAGCCTCTCATTGTAGCTGAAAAACCCACAAAATCCATATATAATAAGCTATACATAAGTAATGATTAACAAACCAACAAGATCAATGTGGAATTCATCTAAATCTTCTTTAATCATTGAACTTCTCTTGCTTTTCGGTCTTGTTTTGGGGTTCCAAGGGTTTTCAATCATAATTCTCCTCAGAAAACCGAGCACATGCCGTCCCATTCGATCTAATGTTTGGGTTTTTATAATTTCCTTATATCGGTTCAGCATGTCATGGTTGGACATCACCATGTCGTGGTCCTTATGTGAATCCCATATTTTCCAAGTCGTATGATTAGTCGAGAATCTTCCAATCACCACGTCATGTTGAAGGATCACCACGACGCGATCATCTGTTTTCAAGTCTTCTTTTCTTCATCTTTTGCCCTGGCTTCCGCTTTCATGCTTCCATATCCTCGTATGATTAATTTTCATCCCGAGCATGTTTTCACCGCTACAAAACATATTTCAACCATAAAAAGTACATTTTGTCCCCAAATAAACATAATTGTAGCTAAAAGTATTAGAAATATGCATTAAATACGTAGTTAAATATGCACATATCAATGAGGGTGGAGGTTGATCATGAGAAGACTCTCAAGGGATTAATGCCTTTAAATGGGGCTCACAAACCCCAAATTAGGGTTTTGGATCCAACGATCCTACAACATGTATGGCCTTTGGTACGCCCTGCATTGACTTGTTCACCTACACCATGCGTAGGTGACTACCTATACCCCGTGTAGAACCAATCTTCTCAAAAGTAAAATTAAGGTTTTAAATAAAATAAGAAATGTAGCTGAAGAAATGAGTGTTGCATATTTTAACATATTTAACTGACCAGGACAAATAAAATTTTAACTCTAGGATCATAATCACAACACAACTCACTAACAAGGAGATATTTCCATTTCAGAGTGGAGCTCTTGTGAAATGCATTAATGAGAGGAAGATACATTGGTTAAAAAACATGAGAAATAAAGTAAACCTAAGTTTCTAAGCTTTTCAACCAAAATAAAATAAAATTAAGAAATGATAAATATATATTTCGAAATCGCATGTTAACTTTTATGGTCTACTATCTCGTCATTTGGAATGAGATATCATTAAATCTATAATAAATTTCTTGATTTTTGCCATTTGAGATTACGAACTCGCATATGGTGATTATGGTCATCTATATTTTCCTTTATGTTCATCAATAATTTAGTCATTCGAGTCTCAATCTCATGTGATTTCCTCTTCTCAAATAAGATTATAATGCATAAAGTTATTCATTAAACACTTGTATAATCTTACTTATCATCATTTTACACAAGTTATATTGTACAAATGTTTAATTCATAAGATAATCTTATGAACTGACACTTGTACAATTTCATTTAAGGGAAAATGACTTATGAAGGTAAGTAACTATTTCGATTGTCCACATATAGGTAATATTATTTTTTTGTTCTCATTAATGGAACAAACTTGTTAGTTTTGTTCATATTAAGGTAATATCACCGACTATTACCTATTTTTGCCCGTTTTAACCGGTTGCATCGTTTTTACTCAGTGTTACTCATTTAAAACTAATTACGTGGATTCTTACGTGGCCATTACTCCCCTCTCTCATTTAATTAGGGTTCTATACGTTCAATTTCAACATAATCACCTCCCGATTGTAGATTCGATTCACCAAATTCATCATAATCACGTGTTGAAGTCGACTGTAAGATGGCGTCCCAATCACCTACAGGTATGTATTTAACTATAGATGTTCATTACAGTGGAGTATTTGCCCGAAATCCGTTGAAATACTTAGACCTCGAAAAGATAACAGTGCGTGATGTCGATTTTGGAGGGTTTTCCTACAAAGAGTTTCTTTTGTGGCTTAGGAATTTAACAAATGGAAGTTGTGATAATGTGTACTACTGTAGTAGAAAGGAAACCTTAGGTGAGGGTATTATAAGAATCGATAGTGATGCTGATTATTGGGAGTTTGTTGAAGCTACTTATACTCCTGAAGCTGAGTTGGATGTCTACATTGACCAACAAAATGATCCAATCTTTGATTGGGCTGAAAATGAGGTGTTATCATATGGTAATGGGTATGATAGTGAAGAAGAGGATGGGAATGTAGAAGAGGATGAGAATGTAGAAGAGGATGATAGTGAAGAAGATGATAACTTGGATGGTATTATGGCATATGAGCATGAAGAGGATGAAGAAGTCCATACCTTTAACAAAAATGTTGGTGATGATTTTTTAAACAAACTTTCAGGTAAGCTTAGTGATGATGATGAACCTAATGATGGAAAAGATGAGAAGGTTGTATTCCCTGTCCATGATGAGAACCAAGCATGGGATAAGATGATGCCAATTCTAGGTATGAAGTTTGCAAACCCAATGCAATTGAAGCTATGTCTAACCAATTATGCAGTGAAGAATGGGTATGACTTGTGGTACGAAAAAAGGGATCATAACAGGTTACTGGTGAAGTGTTGTAAAGGTAAGAAGAACAAGAATAATACAGGTTGTCCCTTTAGGTTGTGGGCAACCTGGATGAGCAATGAAAGGTCATTCCAGATTAAATCTTTAATTGATAACCACAATTGCTCAAGAGTCTTCAAGTTTGGGTCCATTGTTACCTATAAATGGATAGGTAATCATTTCATGAATCAGATTCTCCAGAAACCAAAAATGAGTGTGAGGAAATTGAAGGCTAAAGTTAGCAAGACATTTAATTTGATTGCAAGTGTGGGATAGTGCAGAAATGCAAGGAGGTATGCATTTAAGGAGATAGAGGGTACTTTAAAGGAACACTATGCTAAAACTTGGAGCTATGGAGAAGAGCTAAGGAGGACTAACCCTGGATCAACAGTGAAGATGGATGTAGATGCCATGCCTGATGGAGCCACTTACTTCTCAAAGTTCTATGTATGTTTAAAAGGTGTGAAGGATGGATGGATTAAAGGTTGTAGAAGGGTAATTGGACTAGATGGCTGCTTCTTAAAAGGTGTTTGCAGAGGTCAGTTGCTTGCTGCAGTAGGCAGGGATGCAAACAACCATATCTACCCTCTTGCTTGGGCTGTGGTTGCAGTTGAGAGTAAGGAAACATGGAAGTGGTTTGTTGACCTTCTCCTTGATGACATTGGAATGGGAAATGGACATGGGTTGACATTAATATCAGACCAGCATAAAGTAATGATTTTATATGGTCTCTTTATTTAATACTTAATTTATATGAAGTTTATGTTTTGTTTGTAATGCTGACAGGGATTACTTGAGGCTGTCAAGGAAAGGGTACCTGCAGCAGAGCATAGACAATGTGCAAGACACATATGTGCTAATTTCATGAAAAAATTCAAGGGTCAACAGTTTAGTACACTTTTCTGGAGAGCTGCTGCTTCTACTACCCAGGCTAAATTTGAGCAACATATGAATGAAATCAAGAAGATAGAACCACTAGCATATGATCATCTAATGGAGAAGGACCCTAAAACTTGGAGTAAAGCATTCTTTCAAACTGATAGGGCATGTGATGCATATGAAAATGGTGTTTTTGAGAGTTTTAACTCAATCATTGCAGCTACCAGGAAAAGACCTCTAATCACTATGTTAGAGGAAATTAGAATTTATGTGATGGAGAGACTGTGTATACAAAAAAGTAAGGGAAGTTCTTGGGGAGACTTAAACATATGTCCTACCATCAGACTGAAATTGTCCAAGATTAAGACACTTCAAAGGTTAGTGATTGAATACCTTTTATATACTTACAACTTATATGTTTAACATTCAATTGTGTATACTTACATTTAAGTGTATGTGGACAAATTTTGGAGAGTTGTACCATCTGGTTATCAACAATTTGAAGTGAGACTTTTACAAGATGCATATGCTGTAGACCTTGGTAAGAAAACATGTGGATGTAGAGGCTGGCAATTAACTGGTTACCCTTGTGTACATGCATATGCTGCAATTTCAAACCTCAATAGGGATCCAGAGGACTATGTATCACCATGGTTGACCACAATAATGTTTTGTAATGCCTACTTGTACACCATTAAGCCACTAAATGGTAGTGATATGTAGCCTGATGTGGATTACATCAAGCCATTGCCTCCCAAAATGAGAAGAATGCCAGGAAGACCATCAACAAAAAGGAAAAGGGATCAGATTGAGAATGAACTAAAGGGCAATAAGCATACAGTCTCAAAAAGGGGAATTGCTATGAGATGCAGCATATGCAGAGAATCAGGGCATAATAAAGCAAAATGTCCTCAAAAACCAAGTGGGGAATCCTCAAATCCAAAGTCAAAGTCAAAAAATAAAAAAACCAACAAAAAAGGTATTTCTCCTCATTTACCTTTTGATTACAATAAAACAGCTTCTAATTCTAACATTTGAGTTATTTCATAACAGGTAAAGTGAAGGTTGAATTGAATCAAGAAGTTGATTTGGAAAGTGATAGTGACAGTGAAGTTCAAAGGGAGCCTGATAGTGAGGTGGAGTCTTATGAAGTTGATTATGAAGAGGGTAATCATACATATGAAGATGTAGACCAACTTGAGGTTGAAGCTAAAGAACAGGTTGAAGTTAGAGGGGTTGAAGAACAGGTTGAAGTTGAAGAACATGTTGAAGCACTTGTTGAAGTTGAAGTTGAAGAAGGTGAATACCAGGCTGGAGATGTAGATCAAGTTGAACAGGTTGAAGTTGAAGTAATTCAAGATCCAGTTGGACAAGATGACCAAGGACAGGCTACAGTCCAAGATCCAGTGGAAGAGGAACATATGATGGAAGTACCAGCATTTCAGGTTCTACAGGGAAAGAGAAGAAGGAAACCTTCAGAAAGAATCACAAAAATTCAAATAAGAAAGAAGTGGGAGGGAAAAGAGGGGAGTAGTTGTGATAAACCAATGGAATTGGATTAGAATTCCATAATTTGTTGTTTTTTTGGCATCATTGACTGGGAATCTTTTGTCTAGTAATATGTGTACCTTTTGGCAGTAATGCATCTGTAATTGTGTTAAATTCCACTGTTTTGCAAACAATGTTTCCTGGAATCCAATGTTACATTCCCATGTTAGATTATATTATATTACATCCCAATGTTTCAATGTATACCATTCTAGTGTTTAATTACTTTTCATTCTAAACATGTAACAAAAACTTCAGAAGCAAAAACATGTAACAAAAATTTCATCCATTCAGAACATACATAACCATACACAATAACAGGTGGACTACATCATTCTAATACCAATCATGTTTCAATCATGAACTACATCATTCAAACCTAATACATCATGAACTACAATGAAATCCACATTTTCACATACAATGCAAATAACAAAATCAGTGCCAATTTGTGAGTAAACAACTCCCACTTGACTTTGTCCAATTCCTGTCTATTAACAAAATTGGTGTTCTTTTCTTCTTCGATCTTCATTCTACATATGCTGATTTCATTCTCCAAAGTGCAAATTTTCAAGGTTAAATTACAGCTTTCTTCTGGTTTCCTCCAGTAAGGCTTTCTTCCATCTGTCCTCCCTTCATCCTCATCCAGCCATTGCCAGAATTTACAGCTTGGACTTTTTCCATTCTTGAAGAAAAATTAAAAAAATGTTAGGTTAAAGGATGAAAAAGAAGAAAGGGTATTCAACAAGATGGAGAAGAAGAAAGTTGGAACGTATTCAGCTTACTATCGAGTTTTGACAAACTCTAAATTTTCTTCCAGGATTGTCAGGGGTTCTTGAAGTCTTCACACGAGATGGTAAGTTGCAATCACATGGATGATCAGCTTGAAAATCATCTTGTCGTTTTGAAGAATAAGATGAGGAAGAAGAAGCCATCGTAGATCTAGGGTTCAAAATCGGGTGTACTTGAATGACTTCTTATACTGTAAACGAAGATGATATAAGCACAAAGCCATGTAGGTGCAACGTATTCAACTCATGTGCCAGATGGCTGCCACATAAGCAAAAACCGGTAATAGCCGGTGATATTACCTTAATATGAACAAAACTGACAAGTTTGTTCCATTAATGAGAACAAAAAAAATAATATTACCTATATGTGGACAATCGAAATAGTTACTTACCTTCATAAGTCATTTTCCCTTTCATTTAAGGATAGGAAACCACATATGAGTTTGATGAGAAGAAATCACATATGCTGGATACCATATGCGATTTTGTCATTCTAAAATATCAAAAGTCAATTTTTTAATATTTTTTTTTTGATGAAATCACAATTCTAATGACGAAATCGAAACCACATACAAGTCCACCTCGGTTTCCATGGCTATATTAGACATTTATTTTGTTTATTTTTAAAAATTAGTTCTAGAAATTATATATATATATATATATATATATATATATATATATATATATATATATATATATATATATCAAAAAACATTTGAAAAACGGGAATATGTCATATTGGTGTATTGATTATGGAACAATAATAATCAAATACCGAAAAGTGATAAATCCTAGAATCAACGACCAGTATAAGGGAACTGGTTCCAGCTTGGGGTCGGTTGTATCGTTTTTGGAACCGATTATGACCGAAAAAGGCATTGGGAAATGAAACAAAACCGGAAAAAAAAACCCTAGGACTTTCTAATGCCTAAAATGTATAAAAGGAGCTATTTGATACGTTTGTTAAAATGCAAGGGTTATTAATATGAACTATACGCATATTTACTTGTCCTTTATTTACAATATCGATTCCAATTCCAACAGGAGTATTGATTCCAATTGCAACAGTATAAACTTTGGGTTGGCTTTACGGTAAGTACATAACAAATCTATATAATATGAGCATATTTACTTGGCTTATTTTTTATATATTTATTCCGAGTTACAAGTTCCAAGAACAAAAACGGCCATATGAATTGTATAGTTCCAATTTTTCTTGATCACATCTTGGAGAGGAAGGAACGGTTTAGTCGACATGAAATCGATCGTGCCAGGGGTGTGTTGTCATATCGTATGTGATCCAAGCCTTTTATACGTCCAATTCCGGTTCTTTGTACTGGTTTACCCTATAAATGATATCCCTGAAACCGATATAACCAAATACCAAATAAGTGGAAAAGTAAGAATCAATAATTGGACAGGTTAACCTAATTCGGTGCCAACCGATGCTAGTTCCAGTTTGATTTTACGGTGAAAACCGTCATCCCTGATGTCAATTATCAAATTGGTTGGACAAAATAATTATTGTCATTCAGACTAGAAAATTTATCTACTGTATCCGTCATCCAATTCGTTGAGTCAACCATTTTGCAACCTAATTTTGGTAAAAGATTTTATATATACATTTAAATAATTAATTATTGAATTAACCAATTGGCGACTAAATTTTAGTAAAAGCTTTTACATATACAATTACGTAATTAGTTATTAAATATCCATATCAATATATCAATTACTCAAAAACAACCCAAACAATTTGACCCATTCTACAGTCTTTTTGATTTTGAGTTTTAACTTGAGGCTCACTATGGATAATATTGGGCCTTGGTAAAGCCTTTATGTCATAATTCAAAGGGCCTCTAAAAAATTGCTAACAATGGAACCCTAGAATCGCCGTTGATGGCCGTCGCATACGCCTCCGTTCGCTCTATAAATCAACTGTTGGGTTGCTCTTTAGAATCAATCATTCTTCAGGTGATCTATTTGATAGGTTTATTTTGATTTGATTGAATTGTGTGTTTATTGATTTCGATTTTGATTTTGATTTTGATTTATGCTTCGAGAAACGAATGGCTGTGACGATCGATGCTTATATTCTGACACCTCTTGTATGAGAACAGTCTTGAAAGAGGCTGTTCGTTGAGCACATTAAGCAACTCTCTGAGCCTTTTTCTTTTCCTAATACGTATCCTTTTGTTGAACTTAGCTTCTAATTCGTTTGCTTCTTATAGCTCTTCTGTTTGCAATTTTGTTGTGTGAATTGAAGTTTAGATCTTAGCGTTAATGTTTATTTTTCTAACATGAACGACTATCTTAGACCCCTTTTCGCTTCTTGATTTCTACGAATTTCCAAAGAAGTTTATGTTTATCGATCGGAAATTCAGGCAACCTCTTTCTTAATATATTTATGAGAAGGAAGGTGTTAATCTGGTCGGAAATTAATATCTTTTGCTCTTCATACTTGCTGAGACTTAATAGTTTTTGAAGCTGGTATAGTAAGCAATAAGGACATCTATAAAAACTTTTTTAATTGAATCGAATTTTTTTTGTTTTAGATCTTAAATAAAAAGTTTGTTGCTCTTTCTTGCTTTGCAACATATTTTGTGTTAGATCTTATTTTGGAAATTATGTTTGTAATTAAGTTATATGGTTTTTGTGAACTTGTAACGGTATAGAAAAATTTATAGTAAACAAATAATCTAACATCTTAATAAGATAAGAAATCCAACATAAAATGGTTTGTAGAAACTCTTATCAATCCTTTACAAACAAGAAAATGACATATAGGAACGGTTTAAAAATGACGCATCTAAGAGGCACCCACATTGTAAAAATTTTAAGGAGTGGTAGAAAATGACATATAAGAACGGTGTATAAATAAAGTAATTAGTTATAGATAAAATCGGCTCAAAAACTGAAACAAGTAAAAAGAGGTGGCATATAATAATAATAAAAGTAATTTACACGAATGGTAACAGTGGTTTGGGGTAATTTGCATGTTTGGTCTTTAACTTATTTTTTTTAACTCGGAAGGTTCTTATTATTTGTTTTTGTTACACGTTTGGTTCCTAGAATTTGTTTTTGTTACATGTTTGGTTTCTAGAATTTGTTTTTGTTACACGTTTGGTTTTTATCTTACTTAAAAAAATTATTATTTAAATAAGAAAAATGGTGAGATAAGTAAGGTAATATAAAGTGGGTATGGTTGGGGTTTGTTTATTTAAAAAAAATTTTAAAAATCAAGGGCAAAATAGTCTTTTTAGGTAAGATAGAGACCAAGTGCGTATCAAAAACGAACAGTAGGAACCTTCCGAATTAAAAAATTAAATTAAGGATCAAACCTGAAAATTACCTAATAAAAATTACCCTAAATCATAGGACCAATCGTGTAGAGAATACTATTATTTCTATAAAAGACCCGTATATCAAAAACAATCCCAAACTGCAATATAACGTGTAATCAAGGGACCAGTTATACCAACCTTTTAGAAACTTTAGAGGGGCACACGCACACCGCAACCCTCAAATGAAACTTCTCTCTTGCTTCCACGAGTTGACTTTATTGTTTTAAATGTTTCCAAATTTGGGTCATTTCATATCTTCGTTTAATTTACGTCAGAAACTTGAGTTGACTTTCTCTTTGATCTATAGAATTGAAGAGCAAGAAGATGATGAATGACAAGATGAAAGCTTTGATGATTGGAGTTGTAGGTGCAGGAATCACACTTTCTGCTTATTCACAAACATACATGACTCCAACTCAGTGCATTGGCACCGGCCTTGTTATACTAATTGTAGGACTTTTTGTCGGGGAAGGTATCCTTCCGGTCTAATTTACCATTTTTTGTCTTTCATAGAAAGACTGATTTTGATCCTTCACAGATATCTGTATATATCTCTGGAGGATCAAAAAAAAAAAAAAGGACATGTGTCCCGATATCCGGATCTAGATCGGTAGTAGTTTATCTTTTTGTATTTCTTTAGTTTGTAACCTTCATGGTGAATCAAGATCCCTAAAAGTATATGTCATGGAATCAAATTATTATTTTTCTTTTTGTAGTTGTATGATAACCGATGATAAATTTTAATTGTGTTTGGTCTTAGGGTAATTTTCATTTTGGCTATAAACTTTAGTATAATAAAAATACATACAATTCGAATTGTTCGTTTGTTCCGGTATTCAAATTCTATGTTTCTTATTGATAATAGAGTTTGTTTTTAGTTTTAAGATTCATACGAATTTTTAGTTTTAGAATTGATGAATGACACAATTTTCCAAGATGTGAATGAGATTATATAATCACAAAATAAGATATGTGAATCCGAAACTTGATGTTCAAAGTTATAGAGTTTGATATTTATAATTAAAGAAAAAGATGTATGATCAATAATGTCTTTTATAAACTAAAATAAGTAAATATTTTATAAGGTAAAAGAAACATAAATATTTAAACTCAAACAAGTAATATTTTTCCCTTGGTTTTTCGGTAATCGACACTACACCTAGCTTATTATTGATAACTGCATTTTGCCTTCAAAATCCTCATTTCCACATCCTTATTTCTATCATATAGAACTGGTAAACTTTAATATTTTTAATGACATGATGTTGTTTGACCTCGGTTTAAAAACCTTTTGAATCAAGAACATTAAACACAGAAACCTTAAACATTAAGTAGTAAATCATACAATCATAAAAGCATAATCACCACAAAACAGGGCAATACCAAACGTACTTTAGGTCGTGGACTAAAAGAAGTTCTTCAATGACAAATAATTTTTCTTGTAGTAAAATAATTTATCAAAATTCATTTACATCTATCACTTGTGAACTACTAAATGCACAAGTCATGTTTTATAATTTACATTAATCATGTCGTTGTAATTTACTAAAAAAAGGAACCCATTGATCCTCCTTTGCTCCTCATATTGACCTCCTACTAATAAAACCAAGCCATCAGTCCAAGTGAGCTTGATCAAGAACACAATGCTTATTTAGGTACAACACAAAAATCAGCATGCCAGGGGTGTGTTGCCATATCATATGTGATCTAAGGGTAAAAACTAAAAGCCTTTTACACATTTAGTTCCGGTTCTTTGGACTGGTTTACCCTATAATTGATATCCCCGAAACCGATATAACAAAATACCAAATAAGAGGAAAAGTAAGAACCAATAATTGGATATGTTAACCTAATTCGGTGCCAACTAGTACCAGTTCCGGTTTGGTTTTACGGTCAAAACCCTCATCTCTAATTTTAATTGTCAAATTGGTTGGACAAAATAACTATCGTTATTCAGACTAGAAAATTTATATACTGTATTCGTCATCCAATTTGTTAAATCAACAATTTTGCAACCTAATTTTGGCAAAAGATTTTATATATACATTTTCATAATTAATTATTCAATTAACCAAATTTTAGTAAAAGCTTTCACGTATACAATTACGTAATTAATATATAAATATATAGGTTCCCATCTAGTTAGTTATTAAATATCTATATCAATAATTCAATATATCAATTACTCAAAAACAATCCAAACAATTTGACCCGTTCTACAGTCTTTTTGATTTTGAGTTTAACTTAAGGCTCACTGTGGATAATATTTGGGCCTTGATAAACAATTGCTAACAATGGAACCCTAGAATCGCCGTTGATGGCCGTCGCATACGCCTCCGTTCGCTCTATAAATCAACTGTTGGGTTGCTCTTTCGAATCATCGATTCTTCAGATGATCTATTTATTAGGTTTATTTGGATTTGATTCAATTGTGTGTTATTTTTCTTTTTGATTTTGATTTTGATTTATGATTCTAGAAACAATTGGCTGTGACGATCGATGCTTATATTCTGACACCTCTTGTATGAGAACAGTCTTGAAAGAGGCTGTTCGTTGAGCACATTAAGCAACTCTCTGAGCTTTTTTCCTTTCCTAATACTTATCGTTTTGTTGAACTTAGCTTCTAATTCGTTTGCTTCTTATAGCTCTTCTGTTTGCAATTTTGTTGTGTGATTTGAAGTTTTGATCTTAGCGTTTATGTTTATTTTTCTAACATGAACGATTATCTTAGACCCCTTTTCGTTTCTTGATTTGTACGGATTTCTAAAGAAGTTTATGTTTATCGATCGGAAATTCAGGCAACCTCTTTCTGAATATTTTTATGAGAAGGAAGGTGTTAATCTGGTCGGAAATCAATATCTTTTGCTCTTCATACTTGCTGAGACTTATGGTTTTTGAAGCTGGTATAGTAAGCAATAAGGACATCTAACAAAACTTTTTAATTGAATATATTTATTTTTTTTAGATCTTAAACAAATTGTGTTGTTTTTTCATAACATATTTTGGAAATTAAGTTAGTTAATTGGTTTTTGTGATCTTTTAGCGGTATAAAAAATTCCCACTAAACAAATAGTCTAACACAAGATAGGAGATCAAACATAAGCTGGTTTGTAGAACAGTAGAAAGGCGTTTAGATAATCATCATAAAATCATTATAGTCGTCACAACAAACCACATATTGACTTTAGACATTTTTGAGACGATACACGAGCTTTCACATTATTAATTTTGTTGTACGTTGTAAACAAGTTCCTTTTCGTTTCAAGCCCTTAACCAAAGACTCGTTATTTAAATCAAAATCTGGTGTAGACATGGGATATGTATATATAAGAAATTCAACCTTTAATTGCAGATAATGAAACTTCAAAATAAAGGTAGTGAAATCGCACAAGACTTGTCATAATTTAGGGCAACTTTTGTTACCTATAAACAAAAAAGAAAATTCTCCAAATAACCAAATGGAGGGGAGGGGAGGGGAGGGGAGGGAGGGATTGAAGCAAGGAACCAATAAAAACACAATTTTATAAAATGATCACGAAAACTCGGAAATGACGTGGCAGAGGGAAGACAAAATATAAAATTTTAATTTTCTGGAGAGTGTATGGTTCTACAAAGATTATTGTGAATCTGTTCTTCAAATGATTATCTTTGAGAAATTATTCTTGGTTAAAACATGATTTATTTATTTCTTAAATTATTGGGAAAATTTCATATATATCCTTGTAAACATTAAGAATTACGTATATATCCTTCCAAAGTTCGAAATTATCTATATATCCTTCTTAACATATTAAATTCTCATATATATCAAATCCTATAATTTAATGAAATATTAATCAAATTACTATCAAAAAATATATTTAAAAATGATAAATACAGATAAATTTACCAAAATACCCTTTACATATTATATTCAAATTAAATATCATTCTTTTTTTTCTAGAAATCGTAAATCAATAAAAAAAAAATGATTCCCTTGAACCTCGATCAATCCATCCCAAATTGACCTTTCTCCTCCCCAAAAAATCGAACTCATCTCCCCCTCCTCCTATCTTCCGGTCTCCCTCACGGCGTCACCCTCTTCCCTCTTAACCTTCTTCCCTCTTAGCCCTCTACCGGCTACCACCACCGGCAAGCTACATTGCCGTCCTTCACGCCTTGAAAATTCCTAACCATGTTCTTCACGATAGAAAAATCTTCATCCACACATCCCCCCTCCTCTTATCACCGATGGCCATCAATTGAAGTGCCAATCCTCAATTTGAAGTATGTGGGAGCATCAAGCCTCAATTTCAAGTATAAGTAGGTATTAAATTCATGTCTAATTTTGTATGTGTTATTCGCTTATAAATTAGGGATTTGCTGTGAATAAGCTAATGTGCATAGATTAGATTGCTTATTATTGAATACGCCGACACATCGATTTATGATTTTGATAAGCCGATATTTGGAATGTCGAAAGAGAATCTGAATTCTTCTGATTCACTGAACCATATTACACACCGGTGTTCAATTTTTTATTCGGAGTATTATAATTGGGTATATAATACTCCATTTGAAATCATCTTCTATAACGTTTGTTTGTGTAGTCCGTACCACTATTTCAATTTGTGATTTCTACAAAGTCTGTACGTACCACTCTAGCACTAACATGTACATATACCTACGAATACATACTAAATTCCATCATCCAAATCTGTTCTACATTCCTATTCTTCTCCTTTTTCATTCTTCTTATTCTTCTTCAGTTTCTGTTCTATTTTTATTTCACATGATTAAAATTTAGAAGAAATCTTGTTGGCCAAATCTTTAACTTTTTCTATGTTTTTCGTCTTGATGTTGACTTACAGAAGCAAAAAAACAAGTGATGGATGCAAGTGAGAGATTGGATGGCCAATTTAGTCCCCATTTTCATTCAAAGTACACATGGTTCATATATTCTTTTCCATCTTCAATTTGATGTAGTTACAATATAGATGTTTATTATTAGATTACTTGAATAATTATGCAAAATCTTCAGAAAATTATATTGATTTTTTGTCAAATATCTTATAAAAAGGTCGTGTGGACCCAAATCAATACTATCAGTTTCCATAAAACTATTTTTGGAAGGGAATATATGTTTTCTGCTAGTAAGTTAACGAGTATCTACACCTCTCATGAATGCAACTATGATTATGCATCAAAGCATGGAGCCAAAGATGGTCTTTTTATCCTTATACTTGTATGGTTGGTCCATATTGTAACAAAAAGTAAGAAATTAAAAATACACTTGTAATACTGTTTTATTGTTACAATGATATGGCTTATCGATAGTGCAGATACCAATATTTTTTTTCTTATGTTTAGTGAGACTAAACGAATCATTATACGGTGTTAAGAGTTTTGGATAAATATATTTGTCGACGAAGGAATGGTGGACACCTTGTATTGTTTTGGGTCGTGAGAACATCAAATATCCAAATGCAAATTGGAAATCAAAGAGCTCTGGTAACAAGGTGGAAAATGAGGCTGACTTATCACTAAGATCTCATCTACATGAAATTCTGGTAGAAAGAGAGCTAATGAAGCCGACCCTAAAATTAAAGTAAAAAAATTAGTAGGGTGTTATTTCTTTAGGAATTAGGAAGTTGTCTCATAAGTGGAGTGTTATTTTGGTGGTGTTGTTGTTGTCTTGTCAAAATAAAGTGTTATTGTTTTAGAATTTTATTTTGTTTATATTGTAACTTTCCCAGCATCATGCTGGTTTTTCTATTTAATGCATTTGGTAACATGTTGGATATGTTGCTTTTGCAAAAATACATTACATAACTGTTCGAATGGCATAATATCGTTACAAAATGCTCCTTGTGGAAGAAATACATTACAGAAACAATCCCTATGGCTGAAAATACATTATAGAAACAGTCACTATTGCAGAAATAGTCCCTATGGCATAATATCCTTACAAAATGGTCCTTGTGGTAGAATTACATTATAGAAAGAGTCCATGTTGCAGAAATACATTACATTATCAGTCCCTATGGCATAATATCTTCACAAAATGGTCCTTATGCCCAATAACAATTACATACTTGGTCCATGTTTCATAAAAACATTTAAAAATGGTCCTTGTGCACAAAAATATTACAGATTTGGTCCATGTTTCAGAAAAAACATTACACATACGGTCCCGGTGCACAAAAATATTATAGAAACAATCCCTGTGGCATAAATTCATTAAACAAATGGTCCCAAAATAAAAATATATTTATCTAATCAAATTTTAAATGTTTTGTCTAATGAAAATTCTACCAAACAACAAAATTAACAAATTAAACAATCCTTATAGAAAAATTAAAGTACTAAAATGTAATGAAACTCATAACAAAAGCTTATGATCTTTTGTGTTCTTTCCTCTTGCTAGAGGATGCTTCATCAAAATGTTGAGACGTAGGATTTTTGCAAGTCCTTTGATGGTGTCCATATAAACCACAACGGGGACATCTGTGTCTTTTCTTGGGCTCATCATGTGGTATAATTATATTCTTTTTAGGTCGTCCAGGCGGTCGTTTTATAATAGGAGGGTATATCTTATCGACTGTCTCTATATTCACCCATTGATCTTTTCCGGGCATCGGACCAATTTCTAAAGCATATGCTTCTTTAAACTTGTCGACTGTGAAATATGTATCAACATATTTGTCCCAACTTGGCTCCCTTGTGAAAGCAATAAAAGCAGCTGCATGCACACATGGAAAGGCCTGTAACTTGCCATTTTCGACAACTACATTTTTTCTCATCCAATACAACATCCCAACGATATCCTTTGAACTTCACTTCTGCTTTATTATCACTGCTTCTACAAACTTGATATTCACCCAAGTTCTACATGAGAAAATAAAACAAGAACAAACTAATATTAGGAAAAATATATATGTTTAATGCAAAAACAATTATGTATGTATATAGTTCCTTAACTTGCCTTAGTGATTGTTTTGAGATACTTCTTTGCTTTTGGAACTAATGGTCCTTTCCATTTTTTCACCTTACTCCTTTTCTTGTCAAATCGTTCCATAAGCTTTTCTCTAATTGCATCAAGGAGATCAAGCACCGGTTTATAGCGTATGTCACCTACCCAAGAGTTAAAACTTTCTGAAATATTGTTGGTAATGTAATCACACTTAACAAGTGTGCCAAACTTACTTCTACTCCATATCTTTTTATGGTTCTCATTCAAATATGAAATTGCATCTGCACATTTAGTAGCAATTTCATTTAACAATCTATCATGCTTACTAACAAAGTAGGTATTTGCAGCCTCCCATAACTTGCTCATGAAAAAGTCACCTCGAAAATGTTTCTTGAAGTTGCTACATAAATGTCTTATGCATTCTCGATGCTCAATATTAGGATAAACCTGTGTAATAGCTAATTCCAACCCCTTTTGCATGTCAGAGGAGATAACAAGACCATTTGGTGTACCAATCGCTTTTTGTAGTGACGTGAGAAACCAAGTCCATGATTTTGTATTCTCTGCCTCAAGCACACCATAGGCTACTGGAAACATACCATTGTTACCGTCAATACTTGTGGCAGCGGCTAACACACCATTAAATTTCCCTTTCAAATGACAAGCATCAAGCGCAATGTAAGGACGACAACCAACAAGAAACCCCTTAGAGCATGCTGTTAATGATATAAAAAAACGTAAGAAATGTTTCTTTTCACCTACTATTTGCAAATCAATCTCCACCACACTTCCTGGGTTTCTCTTTTCAAGTTCTTGTTTGAGATCATATATATTTACATAAGAATCATCCCACTTGCCATACATATCAGTATAAGCTTACTCTCTTCCTCTAAAGACTATCATATATGGTACTTCAACATTGTAGGTATGCATAAGCCACTTTTTTAGGTCGGCAGGAGAGACATCGCCTTCAGATTTCAACTTGTCGGTGACAACATCAGCAATCCATCCTTGAGTGGCATGTTTGTTACCACTCTTGTTGCTTCGAGTACAAGAATGAATTTCTACAAATTTCTTTACCTACAAAATTGCAAAAAAAAACATATAATTCTGTTAACATAATAACAATGTTGAAGAATTTAGTATTTCTCAAATTTAATACTTACTTCAAAAGTAACCCCATCTTGTGTAAGAGAAGCATGAATTCTCCACTTACACTCTTTATCTCCACAACATGCTGTAAGTCTTGTCAAATCACTTTTCTCAATGACATACTCAAATTCATTTATTAGTGCATAATGATTTAATGCTCTTCTAAAAGCAATTACACTTGGGAATTTAGAATTCACTTTCATAAATTGATTCATCTTACTATATGCATAAGTTTCACCATAATTTAAAAGCTCATATTCGTTATCGGAACTATGAAGACTATGATAACTTTCTTGACTTGGACAAACCGAGTCTATCTCATTTTCATCATCAGACTCATCAATAACTTTATCTTGACAACTTAATGGTTTAGGGTTATACCTTAATTTTTCGGTTGTCGCATAAATTGTTACTTCTTTATTCTCATTATACATGTTTAGCATCACCATGAAGGTCTTACCATTATCAAGTTCAATAAAGCATTGCTCTTTTGCATATTTATCAACAAATACTATTGACAAAACAATATCGCTTTGTGATGGATAGTGGCTTTTCACCTCTTCAACTAGATGATTTAAGTCGTATGAAAATGTGTCTATATAACGACACTTTGTAGATCCAAAGCAATACACTTGCCTACATGAGTTCCTAACTAACCGAAAGAAGCCTCCATATTTCAATTTAAACTTGAATTCCGATATTACTTGTCTGATAACCACAATGAAAAAAAAACAATTAGTAAAATTGAAGGGAAACATAAAATATCATCCACTGTTGATAAAAACTTACTCAATTACGGGTGAGTGAGCACTTATGTCCCATCTTGGTGCATTAACCTCATTATCCATCAAAGAGGAGGACAATAATCTGTCTATTGCAAACCAAATAATTGAATACAGAACCAAAAATTAATCGAATGCAAAAAGTTAATTAAAACCAAAATTAATCGAAGGAAGAATAACATTAACCTGATATGAAGAAATAATGTGATTTACTACTATTATTCTAGCAGCGATATTCCAAGAAACGAAAGAGAAATTCTCACGGCTTGTAGAAGAAAAAACGTGATGAAAAAGTTAGGAGATTTCACGTTTTGGGGTTTACAATTCACGTGTTTAGGTTTTGCCATATTAATTAGGTTTAATGCTAATTAAATCTATTTAGTTTTGTAAAGGGTAATTTAGTACAATCATCTTTTATTTTGATTTTTAAATATGTTTTTTTGTATTAAATTCATTAATACCTCATTAAATTATAAGATTGGACATAAATGTGATTTTAATAGGTTAAGAATGATATATACGTAATTATGAACTTTGGAAGGATATAGACGTAATTCTTAATGTTTGCAAGGATATATGTGAAATTTTCCCTAAATTATATGTCTATTTTTTAGATTCGTTCTTTTATAGTTTACGTGTTACTTTGAATCAATGATATTTGCTAAATGTGATACGTTGTTAGATTTAGAAGAAAACAAATATCAAAATTGTTATTAGGTTATGTTTTAGCGAAAAACTATTCCTTAAAACATATCTGTAGGGCATCTCGTTGTAATGATGCATCCTCATCAGCACTTTACTGGAAGTCATGGTTATTTTGTAAATTTGTATTTTTTTTTTAATTTTTATTATGATCATTTGCTTCAATCATTCTTTTTCTTTTGATTATTTGATGAATGGGAATTTACAAATTCCCATTCTTTTGGTTATTTGATGAATGGGGATTTGGCTATATATACTTTGGTTATAGACTTCCAAATTCTCTAAAAACAAAGATGTCCCAATGGTTTTTAAGCTGCCGACGCAAGCTCTGTTTTAGTCAAACAAAACCAAACCCTTGCACATAAGAAAATCTTCATTGTTGGAGCTTTAACATAATCTTCGAACGAAGGATCTAACATATAAAAAAAGTACTTTTAAAAAAACATCCCCACCAACCAGTTTTTAGTGCTTTAGTCTGTGTAACTTAGCAAAATCTTAACCAATTAAGACCGATCTTGATCCCAAAATATAGTTAAGTGAAAGAGCAAATGCTGAAAAAAAACCTCAGCTATTGTTTAAAGTCGACTAAAGTTTCTCCACAAATTGAAACAGTTGCTTAAAGTAACACTAAAAGTTATACACAAAATAAATAGCTCATTTATAGGGTTTTGTAACTTGGATACCAACTAAAGTGGTTTTTTGAGCTTAAAATGTAGCAACAGAGAACCAATGATGATGATGCACAACATTATGAGGGACATGTTAGGTTAGAGGGAGTGGTGTCATCGATACTGTACTTCCTTCTCCGTCACATAAAAATCACGTCATTTTTACCACATAAGTGTGGTTTCTTGCCACACCAAGGAAGTGATGTCACATTTTTATTTTCTTTTATTGTTTTTTATTATTTTTTTAAACTATTTTAATTTAATAAAACTTATTTTTTAATAAAAAAACATGATTTTAAAAAGATAATATTTCATTAATTAAAAATACAAATACCATATATTGCTTAACATAAAAAAAAAAACCTAAAAATTTAGAAAAGCAAATTAGAAACATAAAACCTACAACTTATTTAAAAAAAAAACACATACACAAAACGATTAAAATCTTGAAAAAAAAAACTAGAAGTTAGCCACGATTTGCGAAATGTTTTTTCATTTCTTCATTTATCACCAAAATAACTTGAAGCTCGTCCCCGGTCATATTCGATGTGTCGAACGATAGTACTTGCATGTTGCTGTCCCTTTGTTTCCGAAGCTCTCTTTCAGAAGCAATTTGCAAAGTATTGTCCTTCTATCTTTTATACCCTTCATGTCGGCCCCCATTTCTTTCAACTCAACTGAATCCGACGCTTTGCTTTTGCCTTTGCTTTTTTGCTTTGTCTCTTCCCATTGGTCGGGAAGGTGGTGAAATTGGAACAAGTTCATATTCGTTCAAATCAAATTGAACACAAACATCTGATGTAGTGTGGTCGGACTCAGATGTTCTGCTGTATTTTAAACCACTGTCGATATGCTCGTCTGATGTTTTGCTACTTTGCAATTTCTTATTATTTTTCACAAAATTCCAAACTTCAAGAAACTTGAAAGCATTCAGGTTTTCTTTTTGATACACTTTCAGTGCTTTCCTCAAAATCACATCATCGCTTTCTCCACTTTTCCATTGATATTTCATGTTGTTATACAAATCATTAAATAACATGATTTCCTTGTTCATCTTCCCACATTTCGAGTACACTTGATGTTTTGAACAATATTCTCCATGGTTCATTCCTTTATGGAACCTATGTAAAACGCGAATCCAAAAGCGATCATGCTTTTGGTCTTTTTCAACCGTCGCATCTTCTGAAATATCGATCTAAGATTGTGCCACCACTAACACTTCTAGGGGTTCCCAACATTTAGCCTCCGTCTTCTCTTTTCTTTTAATTGCTGCTCGAGTGGTCTGAGTTTCTATAACGAATTCCGGTTCAAAATCAGAAACGATTGTTTCTGGTTGTGTTTGTTGAACAAACTTGGGTTGAGACAAAAAATCAAATGGATTAAAATCTGTGTCGGGTTGTGGTAGTGTTTGTGGTAATTGGTCGTTATGGAAAATACGGAAGCATATCGCCATAGTGTAATATGGAGGTGAAAAAATCGGTTGATCAAATAAATGTATTGGGGTTGTGGTGTTTTTAACGGGTCTTTTTTCTTTGTTGAGCCTTTTGGAAGAAGACATTTTCAAAAAAATTAGAGGAAAAGAGAGTAAAAGTGTAAGGATTTTGGTTGAATGTTAGGGAAAAAATTGTAAGTATATATATATATATATATATATATATATATATATATATATATAAGTAAAATAAATAAATAAATAAATTAAATTCAGACACAAGAACGTTTAACGGTTAAAGATGCAACAACTAATCACAACACGCGGTCTTTTCTAGCCACACTGTGGCCAAAACCGCAGGAACCGCTCCCGGGGGCGGTGTTTGCGGTCCAGGTGGCATGAATGCGGTTACAAACCGCAGTCCACTCCTAGCAGCCTTATGAGCAAAAAAAATCTAAAAAATACTGGAAAAAACAAAATGATTTATAATTAAAACAAAATGATTTATAATTAGCTAATTAAGTTCAACTTCATACATGAGAAGTACACCTATGAATAGTATGGTAATTTTTTGCAACTCATAAGTCGAGTTCCACAATGTAGGACAACAATTGCACATAAATTTTGTTTATTCCACACAAACTTCTTTCATGCTTTTTTTTAATCCTTGTGATCCGTTGTGTGTGGATAGTATATAATGGTACCACATTTTATAAACACTGTACATGATATTTGTTGTAACTCAATCTATCTTTCACAATAAGGTTGAGAATATAAGTCATACATCTTATGTGGAAGTGTTTGCCCATTATACATGCTTGGTATTTTTTTAATTAAAAAATTTATTGCTTTATCATTGGAGGTCGTGTGGTGCTCATCGCATTGGTGATGATTCTAATATCCTTACTTATGATTATCTATGGGGTTAATGATTTTTTCATCCGTGACCTAATTTTCATCAATAACGTGTATGGTGACTACCATATAACAGACCATTTGACACGGGATACTCCTAATGCCCGTGATCAAATGTACCATGTTTAGTGGACTATTAAAGAAAAATTCAACTTATTTATTTCATAAACATAATGATTTGCAACATCTTTTGAAAGCTTATGTCGCAATGGCAAAACGACCTTCCCATTAATTATTCGAGTAAACTCTACAAAAGCTTCAATTTCAACAAACTTAAAACATAGTTCACTCACTACAAACAAAGTTAATAGAAGCATTTTTATTCTTTTTGCATCACGTTTTCAAGTAGAAACTTTCCTCCTTACAAATTTCTTATTTGAATTGTATAGTACTTTGATTTTTCATACTATCTATTTTTTTGCACCTATTCATAAGTTTTTTTAACCTAAATGGAAGAACTCTTCCGTATATCGGATTTGATAGTTGCAGGCCAAGACTTTCATTTTTCATACTTCCACTTTTCTCTACTAAACTTGAATGAACTTAAAAAAATACTTGATCTTTTGTTGATTTGTGATCTTAATTTCGAAAAAAAAAAGGAACTTGATCTTGGTTTGGTTATGACAAATGTCAGACGACACACATGAGAATGGATAAACTAATATGGCCGAGGAAGTAGGAGGGAAAGAATAAAATAAAATGAAGATTTTTTTTTCTTGAGTCCCTTTATATACCACTTCCAAATCTGAATTAATTGATACTCATAGACCCAAGAACCTAAATAACCAAACCCAAAAAAAATAATATGAAATTGAAGAAACAAAAACCTAACTGTATTGCATACTCGATTCCGGTTTGGTTCCTTTTTGCTCATCCCTAGGTGGGTTGCCTTAGGGTTAGGGTTAGGCAGTGTTATTTTAATAAATAAAAAATTATTTTAATATTCAAAAAAGAAATAAAACATGAAAATAAATAAATCAAGGGTATAAAAGTAAGTTTGAGATGAATTTTGAAACAAAATGAAATCATAGGGACCAACCATGTAATTTTTACATGATGTAGAAGTTTCTATAGCTGTTATTACATGATATTTCTGGAAAATCACATGGACCAATCATATAATTTTTTTCTTTTAAGTATCAAAAGAAAAAATAATCTATGATATACACCTTAAGGGTGATGGGAATACATACTTCCCATCCTTCTCATCCTTAATGTTACATAAAATTTCTCTTTGTTTGCTTTCATTTATGTTACATCAAATTTCTCTTTGTCCTTATACACCACAAATTGATCATTCCTTCATTCTCATCCCCACATTTGATATTAATATTGATGCAGATTGTATATTACAAGAATAAGAAAGAAGGAGCATGAATTCCATTAACTAGAATCAACTACTAATTAACTGTACCAGATATGACATGACTTTGTTCCTGATGGTACCAAAGGTATCACATCCAA